AGTTTGAAATATCCAATAAATTTCGTTTCACTTCATGATTGTGTCCCACTTGTTGTTGATTCTTCACAAAAAATTACAGTTTTATATCTTTATGTTTGAAGCCTGAAATGTGGCAAAAGGTCGCAAAGTTCAAGGGGGCCGAATACTTTCGCAAGGCACTGTATATGGTGTGCTGTAACACTGTATGTTTCCCCTTTCTGCATCGTGGCCTCCACAATTGACACCTGCGCATTCAATGAAACTCGGCCAAGACACTAGCAGATGGTTTCCACCAGAGGATCTGCAACCGGTTGCAGTGTACTTTGTAGCTCACAACTATTAATCTCATTAACATAATCCTCTTACAACATGCCCATTTATTCAAAATGACAAGTAGTACTACATATTCCTAGAAGGCTGTAATGTACACAGTTCTCTCTCTCTCATTTTCTATACCGCTTAGTCCCGAACAGGGTTGCGGGGGGGGGCTGGAGCCAGTTCTAAAACCACTCAATATTAATTTTAACAAATGCCCATATGGTCCTATTGATTGGTTAGATGGGACAAAGAACTTGTGAGGAGCTGTCACCTACTCTGCTGTAAACAGTCATTCTGGTGGTTTAAACAGCAGGCTTCATCTGACTGAACCTTTCCTCATTTTGTTTCAATTAGCTCACTTTCAGCTCCCCCTATTGACAATTCTTGAATAGCACCAAAGCATGAAAACAGTGTGGATTTATCAGTATCTTTACACTCCCAAATCCTTGACTAATGTTCAAGTGGGGAGGGGAGACTTCAGTGAATTAAAATGTAGAGGAATGCACCGTCGCCATCCAGTGTGGATGACAGTTTAGCCTTGACCTTCCACCATTGATTGGTCTTGGATGTCACCCAAGTGTTTTGTTAGTAGACAAAGCAAAGCAAAATTATGTGTAGTCGCTGGATGACTGCAACACTGGCTGTCCGGACAAATGCAATGGCATAGGTCTCATGAAGCATGAACCAATAGTAATACAGCCAGGCAGACATTTTCATATGGCAATGTCTTGGTATCAAATGCCTCCATAACCATCAAGCTTATTCAGTCTCAGAAACCAACAAAATGCACGGGAATTAGTCTTAGTGACACTGGTGCTGCACACCTGTTGTGAGTGTCGGTAAACATTACCTCTGTAATAGAATGGGCAGTGCTGTTGGTATAAGTACTGTATGTATATTAAGTATTTACAGTATGTATATATTAAACATGATAAGATCTGATTATTGATTTTAATCTTATGACACATACAGTGGAACAAAACATATTAATTGTAGTATTCATGTTTTATGTGTGAAACAGAAGTTTTGGTAACATTGTAATTAAGTAGAAGTATAAATGGAAACCCTATTATTACTCAAAGGGGAAACTTATTTGGCCACCATTACACAATAAAACCACACACAATAAAATACAAGGCACAGATGACACATTCTTCATTTCTAGAGGAGTCTAATTCAAGAATTGGACTAGTTGAACAAGTCAATTCATGTAGTTACAACACATATTTGAATATATTAAGTATGACAAATCCCACAGCTGTAGATACAAAAAGAACCTCTAAACCTCTAACTGGCTCAGTGGAGAACCTTGATTACTCAACACACTTCTTAGATAATTATTAATACTAATGTAATTTCTTTTTTAATTGAAAGCAACAGCTTATGCACATTTTCTTTATTTCTACAACTGTAGCTGCACACTGGACCATTTTATGATGCTATAGTTTCTAAAGAAATTATTATGAAATCATAAAACAAAAGTCCCATTTGGGAAAACAAGTATTATTATTAAGTCCAAGAAAGGAGAGGTGAATTAAACATACTGTCCATATATGTGTGAGTAACACTGAAATAACGTTTTATACGCAAAATGTTGAGGCTAAGTATTTACGAATTAAGTTAATTTACCTCGTCTAGGCATGTACTGTAAGTCACTTGTAACTAGTAGACTACCATGAGGTAATTTTCTTTGTAATATACTGAAGACACTAGGGGGCATCAAATTACTGTAGTTAGAATTTGCTGCTTCTGTGTCTGTAGTACTTCTGGTGCCAGACTAACAAATGTGATCTTATTTCTGTTAACTCGTTATATTTCACAGAAGGTCTATATGACACACAATGGTCTGACACAATCACAGCAAGTACTGGAATCAAGTAGCAGGTGCAGAATACACGCACGCACACACACACAAATAGAGAGAGCGAGGACACAATTAAATCTCACTTAGATGATAAGGGCTCACACAACACTCCCTCAGTGTGCATCAACCATAATCAGAGACCAGCTTCTCCTGCCCTTAACCCCGCCCAAAACTGGGACGTCACCGGGTGCTTACGCACCACTCTCCTCCTCCGTCCCGGAGCAAAACATCACCAAAATTCTCATCCGTCACTCTTCCCTCTCTCTCTCTCTCGCTCTCGCTCCCTGTCCCTCCGTTGTCTTTTTAATATAACTTCTAACTCATCGGGAGAGCAGGGAGCGTCTGGAAAGCCTGGTATGTCGACTCCATCTCTGTAAAGGATCTGCTCGCACGGCATTCTCTTTAAAGCTGGACACGACTGAACGGATCAGATTGTGATGGGATGACGTTGCTTCCCCTTATGGATTGTCTGTATTCATATTTCCCTCTGTGGATGTTATAGTGCATTATCTCAATCTGAATGAAGCCTTCTTTTTGGATTTCCACGGTGCCGAAGCTGTTTCTGGGTGACTGCCTATTCATTACTTGTGAGGTCGCGCGATATCAATTTTATTGTCGTTATCTTATGAGCACTATTCATATTTTGAGGCGTAACTTGTATTTAATTTTGACGAACAATGCCGCAGTTTCCTTGACTGCGTATTGGTTATTGGCGCAGACAAACCTTGTGGGTTAATTAGTGCGTAAAAAGAGGAAAGTTGGGCGCGCAAAGTTTTGGAGACAGTGGATATGGCTGTGGTGGCGTGGAGAAACATCGAGGGTACCGGGGACACTCAGGGAACCCTCTCCTCCCCGGTGTCCCAGGTCGCATCTCTATCCCTGCCCGGGGAGCTAACGGGACACATGACTCCGGCGTCCTCTCTGGAAATACCCCCGGGGGCAGCAGACCCCCAGGGCGCACCGCAGCCCAATCCGTCCGGCACCACCACCGCGACCAGCACCAACAACAATAACAACACCTCCTCTTCGTCCACTGACAAACAGCAAAGCCAGCACATCGAGTGCATTGTGTGCGGGGATAAATCCAGCGGGAAGCACTACGGACAATTCACATGTGAAGGATGTAAGAGCTTTTTTAAACGCAGCGTCAGGAGGAACCTGTCCTACACCTGCAGGGCCAACAGGAGCTGTCCCGTAGACCAGCACCACCGCAACCAGTGCCAGTACTGTCGCCTCAAGAAATGTCTCAAAGTCGGCATGAGGAGGGAAGGTATGGGCTGGCGTCCTCCTGTGGTGTCCCTGGCACCATATTAATACAGTCCAGGATACTGTCCAGTTTCTCGTCATGCTCTCTAACCTACACATTACTTTTAACACGTGTCACAAATGGTAATTTTGTGCCTGCTGTATTTGTAATAGCCTAGCTAATTTCTTTCTGGACACAGTCATTTACGTTTTGTCTAACGAGATATTTTCTCGTCTTATTTCTATAATATGGCCTATATTATTATTATTATTCTATCTGTCTCTGGCCTCTATACTATTTATACCGTCTTTCCTGTGATATTACAGGACTAGTCCGTTCCAGCTAGCCTCCGGTAGGCTGTAATACTGTAGCTATTCGTCCATAGTAGGCCTGTCCCCGTCATACGCGGCCATTGTGTGGCTGAAACCGCCGGAAGCTGCTTTTAATGTCGCGTGTTCACATTCGACAGCAAAACGCTGCATTCTAATTTAATTTTGTTTAAAATATAGCTTTCAAGGGCCTCGTTGGTATTATGTGTAAATATGGACTCCGCTTCATTAGGTTTGATGGTTGTACAGGCCCAGTGTAGCTGTTAGCGTAGTGCTTCCTAAATATATGTGACATTTGAGAGTTTAAAAAGTGGCCTATTATTGTAAACCTGAATAAAATGTTATCCAGTTTTCAGCACCAAACCTTGGGAGATGAAGTACACAAGCCTAACCTACTATCAAAGTGGCCAAAGGTACTCACCACAATGTACATAATATTTTTATCTATTAAAAAAGCGCAATTTTAAAGTCTAAGATAAGACCCTCGAAATTAGGCAGACACCTGCCGCGTGACCACATCTGCAAGTCGAACCCTAGGAAACGCTTCGAGCTCGAATGTGGTGTTTTTCATATAGTTTTTTGAAGAAACTATCCTAGCATAGGCTTCCAGCGGCCGTCGAAACGAACTTGTGTGGCTAGAAGAAAATAGTGAGTACATTTACATTTATGTTACTGCTTCTGTGTTGTTTTAATTGTCTTCCCATTTAATTTAACTTTTTTGTGGCAGCTGTGCAAAGAGGTAGAATTCCCACGCATTCCTATCACGGCCAGTTTGCTCTGACAAACGGAGACCCTCTTCAGTGTCACTCCTACCTATCGGGATACATCTCTCTCCTGCTGCGAGCGGAGCCCTACCCGACCTCCAGGTTTGGCTCTCAGTGCCTGCAAAACAACAACATCATGGGCATAGAGAACATCTGTGAGCTGGCTGCTCGGATGCTCTTCAGCGCCGTGGAGTGGGCCCGTAACATCCCTTTCTTCCCGGACCTGCAGGTACCTGACCAGGTCGCCCTGCTCCGCCTAACCTGGAGCGAACTGTTCGTCCTGAACGCCGCCCAGTGCTCCATGCCCGTCCACGTCGCCCCGCTGCTCGCCGCCGCCGGCCTCCACGCCTCGCCGATGTCCGCGGACCGGGTAGTGGCGTTCATGGACCACATCCGGGTCTTCCAGGAGCAGGTGGAGAAGCTCAAAATGCTGCACGTGGACTCAGCAGAGTACAGCTGTATCAAGGCCATCGTCCTGTTCACCACAGGTAAACCAGCTCTATGTGTCCAGACAAGGAGGCCTGGAAAACACGATTGGTTATTAGAAAAAGATTTAACCTTTGAACACGGAGGTGTGGAGACTAAATAAAAGTATAGTCAAATATAACGAGGAAAAGTCTATTATGCTTGTAGTCATTCTAAAAAAAAAAAAGCTTTGCTTAAAAGCCTTGTTATTGTCCAATCAGTTTTTATTTGTATAGCCCAGTATCACAAATGATAAATAAATAAATAAACAGTAGGCTTTTGTCATGATAAGGATGATAGTCTGGAGACAGTAGAGGAACATAAATAGCTGGTTAAACTCCTAAATATACTTTTACTTAAATTTGTGGTAAGTAAAACTATGTATGCTCTGCCTTACATAATATTACTTAAATGTGCAAAAAACTTGAAATGTATAAAGCTGAAAGTGAAATGCTACCAAATGCTATTTCAATTGAAATGAACCTTTTGATGTTGAGGTTGTGTTCTGTTAGTTTTCTTCGCTTTATTGTTAAAAATATGCAAAACATTAAACTATTTATTTTCCTGCAAATTTCAGTGTGATTGAGAGTCAGACAAACTTATCAATTTAGTATATGTTTTGTTTCCTGGCTTACTATATCTTATGTATTTCCTTTACCACCGACTATGATCTCATGAACTTACATGGCCTCAGTTTGTCAGCCCTTCAGTATAGTATTAGTATGAGTATTAGCATTGGGTTTATAAAGTGTATTTTTGTTACAACTTCTCAGTTATGTTTTTATTATAATTCAAAATGCTGCTGTGTGGTTGGTTTACAAACTGCATCATACCTCGGCAGCCCCTAAAATATCGAGCACTTTGCATTAATTACATGAATATGCACATGATAACAATGTTGGGCATTTAACAGACAACTAAAATGTTTTCTACTCTTGCTCTACATAAAACACATCAGCAAAGCACTTTATCAAACTGACAAGTTATTACTTTGGTTGTAGCCCTAAATAGAAAACAGCTAGATTAACCTGCAAATTGCAGGTTCCACCTTCTTCATTTATTTATTTATCAAATAGTGAACTAAAAGAATTACATGGGGAAATGCTTTTTCCCTAATTATATTTAACTATGTTTTACATTACTTTACACGTGAATTACCCAAATATAAATGCAAATAGATATACTGCATTGATTTTTTTCATATAATAAAAACTCAAATCTTTAGATTTGGTTTCCAACTAATTCTTCCACAACAGAGCATTATGACATTCTATACTGTTGTTTGTTTTTAATAACAGCCAGAATATTTAATGGTTGGATCATGTTCCAGATCAACAGGACAAGTAGCAGCAGAGTAAAAAATGAACACATCTGAACATGTGTCTATGAACTGGGATCCAGTAACCCTTATTTAACCCCAGCTGCCATCCGGCCTGCAGCTTTACAGTACAAAGAGACAAATACTACTCATAAAATATGGAAAGGCCTTACAGTATACAGTAGAGCTCTCCATACTCGGACTGCACTCTGATACTTATCGATACACTGGCCTTATTTCTGCGTTACATCGTTGTAATGTTATTTCTGAGATGCACTGGGAGCAACAGCTCCCTCTCTAATCCTCGACAGCATTTGATTGAAAGATATGACATTTTCTGTGAGAGGGCTGGTTTCTTACATCACCCACTGGTCTTGTTTTGTCTTTCCTGTGCTGTTGTGTGTTGCGGAGCCTCTCCGATAGCCTAGTTAGTGAAATACCTGTAAAATGAAACTATCCCTATATATGTTGGTAGTCATTTCAGTGCTTGGTTGAACCACTAGTCTTGACCGCTTCTTTTCCTGCCTGTTGTCTCGCTGTCGTTCTCATTGTCTGCAGATGCTTGTGGTCTGTCGGACGTGGCCCATGTGGAGAGTCTGCAGGAGAAATCCCAGTGTGCTTTAGAGGAGTATGTGAGGAGCCAGTATCCCAACCAGGCCAACAGGTTTGGGAAGCTGCTGCTCCGCTTGCCTTCCCTTCGCACTGTCTCTTCTTCTGTCATAGAGCAGCTTTTCTTTGTGCGTCTGGTGGGGAAAACACCTATAGAAACGTTGATAAGAGACATGCTACTCTCTGGGAGCAGCTTCAACTGGCCTTACATGCCAATTCAATAGAGAAGAAAGCTGCTGTGCTTCTTCTAAGGGCAGGAAAGGTCCCACACCTCAAGTCAAGTCATTTCAGCTACTGCAGCTTAAAGTTTCTGATGCTTCAGATAAGGGAAAAACTGCCAGTGGAATGAAATAAATACAGGGTAAAAACATTTTGTTTCACTATTTTGGTGATACCAGAAGAGTGATCTGCCTTATTCTGCATTGCTTTCCCAATGAGGTTCCTGACCTAAATTATCCAGCTTGGCAATGACCTGACCCCACTGACAGGATTTTTTTACTTATTCAAAGAGAAACCATATTTCATGAAGTGAAATCACTGGTTGTCATGGGCATTTTAGCAGTGTGGTGACCATTCACTATATAGTTTCTGGATATCAAACAGTATTTATTGGACCTTGTGTGTATATTTATCATGCTTGTAAATTATGTTTTGCTCCTTTCCCCCCCCACTGTTCTATATATTTCTGCCCTGGATAGTGAGAAAAATGCAGGGACTGTCTTGTGTTAATCTGTTTTTTCTTTTGTTTTGTTCTTTGTTTCATACCTTCCAGACATGGCACTTTGGACTAAAGGAACATTTCAGTCAGAAAGATTTAACACAAGTGTGTGTGTGTGTGTGTGTGTGTGTGTGTGTTTGTGCACTGACACAGAGGTGACATTAATGCTCTGTTTAGTTACTTTGATTTCTTATTCTATTTGCATTATCAACACAAAGAATGAAAAGAGAAAAAGCAAAAGGTATTTGGAAACTGCATGTCTTATGATCAGTATTAAATTGCTTCAATTAATTCATCACTTAATCATTTCATAGGTAGTATTATTATCTTTTTACATTAACATTTACCTAAATGTTTTAAATACTTCTTGGCAATTGTCCACAGGCTACAATGTTCAATTTATACCTTTTGGCCTAAAACAAAGAAACAATATTTAAAACATTTTGAATCACCATGTTTATTTCTCATTAAATTAGCAAATTTTGCCACAAAGAGAAACTTTTCTAGTATATTTCATCAGAAGTGAGAGATTCTGACAAGAATAGGTAAAGGGAAGATGTCAATTTGATATTTCTATATCTGGAGGTGTGACAATAAAATGGTGTTCTTCTGACTGCTAGCTTGTCACAGATAAATGTAGTGACATTGCTGTCCTGGATTAACAGCTGCTGCATTGCCGTGCACTTCTAATTCATTGATGTTTCCAGGTCTTCTACACTGAGAGGTAATGAGCACTGGGCCTAATGAATAACTACACTTTCTTAACAGGGAAAATGAACTGTACACAACTTCCAAGGTCATGAAACAAATCCATTTTATTGTACAGTAATTCATGTATCCTCCTCTGTGACCTAAGTTGTAAAATGATAACATAGTCAAAATGACTTCTGTAAGAACACACAAAGATGTGTACTGTATATGTGTGCATGTGTGTGTGTGTGTAGGCTGTGAGTGTGTTTTTGTGTTTACTTCTTTTTGAAAACCACTCTGATGTACTGTGAAAGAATGTTGGTTAACATATTCATGCCATATTAAATTATAACCCGAGATTTATAAATAAAGTGTATTTGGTTTATTTTGCCATTTCACTTCATGAGTCTATGTACTGACACTGAGCAGTGAAACATAAGGCAGGCAGAGCTGTCTGCTGCTCTAGCGTCTGTTTCTGATGGTAATATCACTAATCAGACATTTTAATCAAACTAATTGGAAGGCTTTATGTGTGTGTCAGTATTTATTTGAACTGGCCTTATCTGAAGACCTCTTACAAAAAGGATTTAACGTTTCAAAAGCAGTTACACTTATTGGGCTTGACCTGGCAAGATGCATTTATTTTACTTTGGATTCTGTGCTTGAGTGTGGCATCGTGTTCATTAGACAATATGACCAAATTCATTTGTATATGTATCACTAGTTCTAATCAAAATGCATAAAAAGTGAACTAACCATCAAAATCCACAAAAATCTGTGTTCTTAGAGGGAATAGATAGGAGTTTATACACAGGTAGTAATACAGGAAACCAACCTCATGCCAAAATAAAAGCATTAAATAATACTTTCTCCCAAAATAAGTCTATTTTCGCAAAAGCAGCATTAACTAATTGTCATTAACTTAACTCTTTGTAATAATCATGCTTTTTGCTGATAAAGATTTTAATGAACATGGGATTATAATCGTGTCTGTGTTGTCAGATTATAGAGGACAGAAAGGATTAAAGCAGCTTCTTTTTGCTTCCTAGTGGACAGAGAGCTAATGAGGGGCCCCTCGGTGCTCTGTCCCTACAGTTTACTCCGAGGAGGATGAAGCTGGCTGCTCCATGGTCCATGGGTGTTCTGGGCCAAAGGGCCAACATGAAACAATGGAGCACTTTCCCACCGACGTACAGGTCCAAAAGAAATAAAACGTCGAGAAGTGTGTGGAAGAAAATCATTTCAGGGTGTGATCTCCACTCAGGAGAAATGTCTGAACTGTCTGAATTGAAATTGATTTTCATTTCTCTAACTGGTCCAAGTCGTACACAGGAGAGCGTCTCAGCCGCTTGTGGAGAGCTGAATCTGGATCAGTCATGACAGCCATTCAGCCAGTAAGCGTTCAGGAGTGAAAGCGTGCAGCCAATCAAATAACTCGGATGGTTTGTGCTTTTAATATAATCTACTTCAGGCCATGGGAAGAAATAGTCTCAAGCCCACATGATTCTTAATAGAATGTTTGCAGATATCTCAGTGTTATATGTGGTGAGAAATAAATAATGTAAACATAATAGCTGATTATATCACACACAATGAGGCTATCCTCACACATTTCTTGTATGATGGCGTTTCGTGGTGTTTGTGCTGCAAATCAAATTTTATTTACAGTGGCCTAACAACAATAAATAATAAAAGTCGATGTGCAAACATTAAACCTTTGTTAAAAAATTATAAAATTGTTACAAAACGTACAAGTAAATTTCTGTTATGTAGTTACCAGCCTATATAAATTTACCGTAATACTTCTGTTCTGATCAATCTCCTCGTAGCTTTGTGATTCGTCCTGTGTGTTTCCCCGCTGTTAGCAGGAATAACTGAAAATCAGCCTTTTAGCTTCTGGTGATGTTTCTCCGTTCTGAAGCTTTAGCTTTTACAGCAGAATGGTGAATTAAAATCAGTCCCTCTATGTAATTATGAACATAAATAAACTGGGACGTGGCTGCTCCAGTTTATTATGTTATGAAGTAATTATGACTGAAGCTTTTTCGCTAATTATCATTATTCTGAAATCTAGAGTGATGTTTACAGTCCTTCCCAAAGTCTAGTTTCAACACCATTATGTTGCATGTATGCTATATTCTAAAATGTTTATGTAATAAAATTGTATAATGGATAATGGATTTTTAAAGATACAAGGACTTGAGATCAATGGCTTGAAGTGCAGAAGACAGCGACTCGGTGTTCCTCTCGAAAACAGGTATCGTCCTTTCTGGAGGGGGGGGCTGAACATTTTACAACCTTCTGATTTTCCAACTTTCTATACACAAAGTTTTCATGTGCTTCTTGTTCTGCTACGACGCAGCTTCACTGAAATAAGAAAAAACATGCGCAACATGGTTTTTGTTGCTGTTTCACTTTTCTGATGATGAAAATCCTTTTCACCTTTTCAGTCCCTTTTTCTCGTATGTTTCTGTTTTTATTAGTTTAAATACAATAAATGCTGTAAAGTTGATCATTAAGAAACTCTCGCTCCTGAATAAGCTGTTAAATTGTGGCTGAAATGTTTCATTCTTTAACAGAGCAAATTTGAAAATTGTTTCCAGATTGTATAAGCAAATATACTGATGTGTCAAAGGCAGTTTTTTTAAAGTTACTACTAGTAGCCTACTTTTTGTTTTTTATTTGGAGATTTCAGTGAAAATGCGCTAATAGCTAAACATCCAGTTCCGCTTTGCAATAGGTAAAAAGTTCCTCAACACTTCGTCATCCAAAAAGCGTTTTAAAATTTTATATTTCATTGTCATTTAAATGTTTTTTTACATAAAACAAGTCTGAATAAAACAAACTGAATTTTATAAACGGATTAAAAATGAAACATTAGTTTCAGAGTGTGGAAAACAGGCTAAAAATTCATGAATATAATAAATATTTCTTTGCTAACTCGGACTGTGTGCGCGTTTGGGGCTGAATAGAAAAATCGTCACCTTACTTTATGACATTTATTTGTCTCCATAAATCATTTTATATTTCCTGTACAGTGAAATGCTATTTTTTTACACATCTTTTTCATGTAGTGTTTTATGTCATTGTTATCCTTCACTCTCTTTATGTCACTTATTTCTTTTTTGGTAACTTTGTGCTTTTATTGCTAACGATGTATGTAGACTAACGTAGACCGGACTGTCGCCAAAAGCACACAAGTCAAATACTCCAAAGGTTTAACTTTAAATGCCATGAGGCTACAACAAACCGCATTCAGTGTTGTATATATAGCCCGATATATGTTCACGTATGACGCTCTGTTGTCCCTGGGAGACTTTCTGCGGAGCCTTCAGGAGAATTAAAAACAATCCCAGGCTGCAATGAGGCGCCATCTGTCTGGAGGCGGCCATTAAACGGACCCGCAGGCCACAAAACATCAGTTCACATTTTGTAGGGAAGTGAAAATCTGGGAGAGGAAAACCTCATCAGACAAAGACAGCCCTTCTTTCATCTTTCACAGCTGATCAATAGCTCATTTTACAATACTAGATACTTTTTTCATGTACTACATGTTGGAAATTCACTATGTGAACCGCCTTTGTCCAGACTTCATCCATCCTTTAACCAACTGGAATCATATGGATAGAAGATTCTGTCTATCTATCTCTCTCTCTATGTGCACATCTGGTTCTGGTTACCTCTTCTGGTGTCTTCAAACCTATAACCCCAGCTGACCCTACCTTGGCCCTGGGTAAGGAGAACGTGGATATGATGGTGATGGGCTGTAACATCAAGACACCATACTCAAGTAAGGTCACTTTATTATGTGTGATTTATCAAAACTTTAAAACGGATGCCTTCAAATTGTATTTTTAATTAAAATGCACTCATCTTCAGAGTGTTGATCTCAAATGCTCACTAACAAAATTTTTGTTTTAAAATTACACAGTGGGAGGAAAAGCTAAGAGGAGTGTGCCACACCTCAGCTTCAAAGCAGTGACTATGAGAGGAAGCCTGTCTGTAGAGGAGCCCCCATTGCAGAGCATTTCAGCAGCTGGGAGGAGGTGGGCTGGGGTGGGGGGTTGTACCAATCAACTCAAGGACTACTGTACAAAAGCAGCCTGTCGTTGCTAAGAGACAGATGCAGAATAACTTCTATGAGAAACCTGACCATGACCCTTCCTCCTCCGCCCCCTCCTTAACAGTCTCTGCCTCTCCTACCCAATTACTACTGAAAATTAAAGCCCAGCTCTGTTACATTACAACTGAAAGGCAGGGAGGTGGAGGGGGGTGGTTTTAGAATAAAGCTGCCCCAAAGATTTTGAATAATTCCTTACAACTAGAAATAAACCATCTTACCTGTCTTTATACAGTAGAATGGGTCTGGTTTAGGGTGCAGCATGCATGAAGGATATGTTTTATGCAGGCTCGTGTGTGGGCGGAGTGTGGGTTGGATAAGAAGACGGTGGGGGTGGGCAGAGGGAATCTGTCAGACAAGTGAGAAGATGAAGATCTGACAGAGAGGTGACAGAGAGTTCAGCTTATAGGAGCCCTGTCCATTAGCGTATTTGCGGCTGACAGGTGGAATCCCAGGGGTGAGTCTGTCACCGCAGTCTGCTGCCAGGCCCGGCTGGAGCATCATAACCACCATAGGCAACACCCATACATGGGTGGAGATATGCTACAGACACCTCATTGGCCCAAACCATGGTAGCCCAGCCCTCCCAGGCAGAGCCCAGATTAAGATTTAATGTGCGCAGAAAGCAGGGCGAAAGTCATGTTAATCCTTCACTAATACATTGCTATCAGTGAACTCTTTTTACACCACAGTCCAAACACGCTTTATGGAATGAGTATTAATCTAACAAGGATATGATAGATTTTCAAGCCCATGTAAAATTGTATCTAATGTTTGTTTGTAACGTGTACTGTTGCAGCAGTGCATGCTGAAAAGCACAATTCTGAGAGGGCCTCTGCTGTTGCTAAGATCTATTGGGTCATTATTCTTCCTTTTTGGAAAGTGATATGTTTTTTTCATTGCAAAGGCAACTGAGACAAAAGGAAAAAATCACACTGTGATGAAGAATAACATGCCAACAGACAGTATAGCCAAGTCAGATGAGGCCAAAGACGAATGCAGACCTCAGTGGATTCACTGAG